CCAGGATGGTCTCGATCTCTTGACCTCGTGATCCACCCGCCTCGGCCTCCCAAAGTGCTGGGACTACAGGCTTGAGCCACCGCGCCCGGCCCTCACAGTGTATCTTTTTTAAAAAAATATGTTTTTCCCATCAAGGTCATCTTCTGTTTTTCTTTCTTTCTTTTTTTTTTTTTTTTTTTTTTTTTTTTTTTTTTTTTTTCTCTCTCCTCCTAATACACACTTTTTTTAGTAAGGGGAATGCCATGATGTCGCTCTAGGCCGGCCCCTGTAGACACGCCCCCGGGCCTGCTGTTAAAACCACTGTAGAATGCAGAGCGGGAGCTGTTGCGGTGGGTGGTCCGCGCGGCAGGGGCTCGTGGAAGACCTCCGTCTGTTGTGCTGATGCCTGATCTGTTGGTCCGTTTTGGGATCACCTTGATTTGCCGTCCTCTACATAGGGACTCATCTAAGGCCAAGGAAGTCCTCACTGACTCTTTGTCTGAGAACTCTATATATGCAAAGCCTTTGGGATGGCCACTAAATTTGTCACAGAGTATGGTCACACGGTTGACTGAACCACAGCCACGGAAGTGAGCTTCCAGCTCTTCTGCTGTTGCACCATAGTCCACACTGCCAACATAGACGGGACGGGCGTCAGCCTGCAGCTTCTCCTCAATGGACATGATCCCCGGGCCCGCACTGCCTGGAGGCGGACTCAGTTCATCTGCTTCTCTACCCCGTTCTGTAGTTCCTTCAGCTTCTCAGCTTCTTCCTCCATCTCCCTGGCTCGAGCTTTGATAGTTTCCAGCTCCGGGTCCTCAATGGCGCCGTCCCCCGGGTCACCCTCCACCAGTCCCGGCTCCTCCTCGTCCTCTTGACTGCCAGGGGGCTCCCGAAACAGGCCCAGGGCCCGGAGCTCCCTAGGGGGGGTGCGGGGCTGGGGCGACTCCTCTTCAGGCTCGGGCCCTGGCTCGGGCTCCAGCCGCCAGCTGCCCAGGAAAATATTTTAAATTGCGTTCGCATCCAAGTCACGGCACCAAAAAAAAAAAAAAAAAAAATTTAAATTGCATATCGAACATTGCATGTAGGCAAATCGCATATGGCCAAGCCTAGATATATATATATATATATATATATATATATACATATATATACGCACACACATATATATGTATATGTATACACACACACACACACTCATATACATATATATACACACATCTGTAATCCCAGAACTTTTGGAGGCCGAGGCCGAAAGGTCACCTCAGGTCAGGAGTTCCAGACTAGCCTGGCCAACATGGTGAAACCCTGTCTCTACTAAAAATACAAAAAAATTACCCAGGACTGGTGGCACGTGCCTGTAATCTCAGCTATTCAGGAGACTGAGGCAGGAGAATCGCTTGAACCAGGGAGACAGAGGCAGTGAGCTGAGATTACACCACTGCACTCCAGCCCTCGAAACAAGAGAAAAAAACTCCATCTAAAAAAAAAAAAGACAATAACAAAAAAGCTAGCTACTGCTCTTAAATGTTGCTTGCGTTTGTAATATTCCTCATAAGAACAATTTTTGTTAAAGTGTGTTACTTTTTAATCCTCCTTTTTTAGGTTAGTGTAGACAGAGTTTGCTTTGAGTCTGAAAACACTGTAGAAAGTAAGTCCGCAGTGTGAAGAAAGAAAAAATGTCAGAAATGTTGTTTTTCCTGTCTAAAGTGGGTTTAAAGCATCCATCCATCACTCCCTTTGACCCTGAAGGGCCTAATTCCAGCTCTCAGGCCCTTGCCACCTTTGGAAGGGTCTCCCTCCTCCCTCTTCCTTCTTCAAAAATGAATCCATTCCACAGCAGTGCTAGATGAATTATCTTAAATCAAAATTTGATTCTTCTCTGTGAGGAACAAGCGGAAAAAAAAAAAAATGAATTGTGTCAATTTCCTACTCAAATATCTTCAGTGATGACTGAATAAAGCCTAGACCAGTATTACCCAATAGAAATATAATGTGAGCCACATATGCGACTTAACATTTTTTTGCTGGGCACAGGGTCTTACACCTGTAATCCCAGGATTTTGGGAGGCTGGGGCAGGCAGATCACTTGAGGTCAGGGGTTCAATACCAGCCTGGGCAACATCGCAAAACCCCGTCCCTACGAAAAATACAAAAATATAGTCATGCATGGTGCCACATGACTGTAATCCCAGCTACTTGGGAGCCTGAGGCACACGAATCACTTGAACCCGGGAGGTGGACGTTGCAGTGAGCCAAGATTATGGCACTGCACTCCAGCCTGGTGGCAGAGTTAGATCCTGTCTCAAAAAAAAAAAAAAAAAAATTCAGTAGCCACATTTAGAAAATAAAAAGGGGCCAGACGTGGTGGCTCACACCTGTAATCCCAGCACTATGGGAGATCGAGGTAGGTGGATCATAAGGTCAGGAGTTCAAGACCAGACTGGCCAAGATGGTGAAATCCCATCTCTACTAAAATTACCAAAAATTAGCCAGGCATGGTAGCATGTGCCTGTAATCCCAGCTGCTCAGGAGGCTGAGGCAGAGAATTGCCTAAATCAGGGAGGTGGTGGTTGCAGTGAGCTGAGATTGTGCCACGGCACTCCAGCCTGGGCAACAGAGCAGGACTCCATCGCAGAAGAAAAAAAAAAGAAAGAGAAAAGAAAAAGAGGCTGGGTGAGGTGGCTCACCCTGGTAATCCCAGCACTTTGGGAGGCCAAAGTGGACGGATCGCAAGGTCAGGAGTTTGAGACCATCCTGGCCAACATGGCGAAACCCCATCTCTACCAAAAATACAAAAATTAGCTAGGCGTGGTGGCACATGCCTGTAGTCCCAGCTACTTGGGAGGCTGAGGCAGGAGAATTGCTTGAACCTGGGAGGGGGAAGTTGCAGTGAGCTGAGATTGTGCCACTGCACTCCAGCCTGGGCGACAGAACCAGACTCCATTTCAAAAAAAAGAAAAGAAAAGAAAAAGAAACACGTTAATTTAGTATTATCATTTATATAACCTAATATACCCCCAAATTCTCATTTCACCATGAAATTAATAGTCAATTGTCAGATATATCTTGACTCTTCAGCATGATCCTAACTTACGATTCTAAGCTTAGGATATACTTAAAATATACACCCAAGAAAAAAAAATTAGAAGTATACCTACCCTTTGCCCTAGCCAATGTAACTGTTTGTCAATTTTGAAACAGGCTCCATTTCCTGCCTTAGTTTTTACTTTGTCTTACTCTGCCTTAAAAAATAAAAATCCCTTTCCTTCCCACTCATACAAATCTTTCCCATCCTTTAAGGGTCAATTCTAATGCAAGATCCTCCTGGCCAAAGGACATACATTTGAAGATTATGCATATCTTTTTTTTTTTTTTTTCTGTGATGGAGTCTTGCTCT